TGTTCATGATTCTTTTTCTTCCTCTGCTTTAATTTTTTCATTACCGTCAAGTAAAGATATATCCACATTAATTATTGTTAAAATAGAGAAAATTTTCTAACAATATAGTGATACTTGCGCGCATAAAATAAAAGCGACTTTTGTTAATACAGTCACGATATCATGTATGTTGAGAGAAAATAATTCCCTTTTGCGATGCTACTCTTTCCGTTGTCAAACTTTTTACGTATTTCCATTCCTTATTCAATTTAACAAACTGAATAAAACAGCTTCATTTTATGACATCTAAAAGTAAAATCATTTTATATAAAGATACAATCTATTTCCGATTTAGTTAATTTATGCACGCAGGTATCAAAAATATTGCTAGGAAATTTTCTCTATTTTAACAATAATTAATGTGGATATATCTTTACTTGACGGTAATGAAAAAATTGACGCAGAAGAAGAAAAAGAGTCATGAACATTTTACGTCTTTGTGGATTGAAAGATATATTTTTCTTGCTAAATAAGCAGAGAATAAGCTAATAATATGTTGACTACTGCTGAAATATTAAATTCAGTCGGTCACAACTTTATTATATATTTTGGCAGTTTTGTGGTTATTTCCGGTATTTTTGGAAATTTAATGAATTTATGCATGTTTTCACAAAAACCATTACGACGAAGATCATTTTCGCATTATATAATTGCATTGTCAGTTGTTAATATAATACAAGTACCAAATACTCTAATATCAAGAACATTAGCGGAGGCATTTAACATTGATCCAACGTTAACAAATGTAAAATATTGTAAATTTCGAAATTATTCAGATTTTGCTGGGCCTTTAATATCATTGTCACTTGTATGTTTGGCATCATCTGATCGATGTATGAGTACATCACGATCGTCAGCATACCGTGAATTGAGCACAATTAAAATTTCACGACGATTAATATTAATTACGTATCTATTCTGGTTAATTCATAATATACCATTTCTCGTATACTTCAATATAAATCATTTAGCAAGTAATCATTCGGTGTGTAGCAGTACTTCTGTCTTGTGGGCCAACTACATTTCCTACTTTATTATACCAATATTGTATTGTGTTCTACCCATTACATTGTTAACGAGTCTTGGATTTAAAACGTATAAGAATATAAACACCTTACAACGAAGACAACGTAAAACAGATGTGCAGTTAACGTCAATGATTTTGATTCAAACTATAATTGTTGTTTTATCAACAACACCATATTGTGTTTTCAGTATTTATGCCGCATCGACGAAATACTTAGTAAAAGATGCAGTACGCACTTCTCAAGATGCACTTTTGGAAAAATTAACACGTTATGTATTTTTGACTAATTTTGCATCTGGTTTCTACAGTTATATTTTTTCATCAAAAGCATATCGGAAACAAATTCGATCAGCTTTCAAAATACTTTGTCAATGTCGTCGAGCAAACCGTGTTAATTCTTTAAAGAAAAACACTATGTAGCGTTCAATAGCAACCAGAAATATTAGCACTATATAAGTAGATGTAAAGAGAGAATTTTACCGTTTTCCTCGTATTTTACACTAGTGATATGACATATTAGAACATTCTCAAATATTGTTCAGTCAAATTAGCCCCATCTCACGGGCATCTAGAGAACGGCTTATCGGTTTATCAGGACAGTTAGATCCTGATGAGTTTATGGAAACATTCAGTTAGAAATATTCATCCATTTCCCGCTGTGTGGATTTTTAAAAGTAGTCAGAAAAATAAGTCAGCATTTCGATGCCTTATAGGTATAGCATTATGCCTATAGTGTGGTAAAAAGTTCAGCTGTATAGGTCGAGTTCTTTAGCCCGAAACACTATCATATTTTGGGAAACTGTCGGGAAAATTACTGTAACTCCGCAACTACGTAGTTCCGAGGACTGGTAGAAATCTCATTTTTGAAAAAGCACTCTGAACTATCTGATTGTATTATTTAAAAATTTTAAGTTTTTATTCAGAAAACCAAAAGAATTTAAAAAGAAAATTGATACGGTTGTAAATTAGAGATATTTATAACTCGGTATACAAAACTTTTTTTGGAATTCGAAATGGTTTCCACTCCAAAGCGGATCCTTGATTTCGTATAGAGACATGCCAAAGTCTGTTTTAATAGCTTTTTTAT